CTTGAATAAGAACATGGCGAAGGAAACGAGAAACGAAGAAGAAGAGAAGTTAAGTGAATAATTATCAAGTCGACATTTATTATCATTTCCCTCTGGAGGTGGAGCATCATAAATTTTTTTATTCTTCCTAAACAGTGTCGTGCTCCTTCGATATGGATGATCAAGGGGTAGAAACCGTCGATGGCAATCAAACCAAGAAGTTTTTCGACCGTGTCGTAATTGGAATGCATCAGTGTTATCTTGACAGTACGGACATGCTAATCTTCCGTGAGTAGACCAACCAAAAAGCATACCATATGCTGGAAAATCACTTATCGTCCACATAAGAACTGCTCGCATTACAAAATTTTGTTTTAGAGAAACATCATATGCTTCAATGCCATATTTCCATAACAGCTTCAACTCATAAATTAATGGCTGTAAGAAAATATCAAGAGATCTCTTGGGGTGCTCTGGTCCAGGAACGAGTATTGTAAGGAACAAAAACTCTCGTTTCATGCACAAACTTGGTGGCAAATTATAAGGTGTGACAATTACTGGCCATAAAGAATATTGCCGCCCATGCTTGCCAAAAGGGTTGAATCCATCCGTAGATAACCCAAGGTAGACATTCCTTGGCTCAGACGCAAAACTAGGATAGAGCTCTTGAAAATGTTTCCACGCTTCTGCATCTGAAGGATGTGCAATCTCTCCATCTGAGTTGTGTTGTGCATGCCATCTCATTGGAGCTGCTGTTCGCTCTGATTGATATAACCTTTTCAGCCTCTCTTTTATTGGCAAATACCACATCCTTTTATGTGGAACAGGTACTCTGCTACTTGTTTCCTGATATCGCGGTTTTTGACAAAATTTGCACTTTAAGCGATGCTCGTTATTCCTCCAGAATATCATACAATTGTCGATGCAGACATCTATCATTTCATACGGTAATCCAAGACCACTTACAAGTTTCTGAATCTCGTAATATGAAGCCGGTGAGATATTATCTTCAGGTAAAATATCTTTAACAAAATCAGCTATTGCATCCACACAATCTTCTGCCAGATTAAAATCCGTCTTGATAGTCATCAACCTGCTTGCAGAATATAAAGGCGATATGCCTTCTCTACATCCTCCATATAAAGGTTGTTTAGCTGCATCTAGCATATCAAAAAACCTTCGGGCTTCTAAATTAGGTTCTTCTGTTCCATTACCATCCTGAATATACGATGCTACGTTTTCTTGAAATGCGTCATTCACCATCTGAACAGTATACTACCTACGTTTACATCATTCACCATCTCAACATCTGGAGTTGGTTCTTCTATCACACCAGAAGCACTGCTATAATAATTTACCATTGATTCAGTTTCTCCGTGCATATACCAAATCTTGTATCCTGGCATAAATCCATTCCTATACAAGTGATTCCATAGTCCTCTAACAGAGTGTACTCTGTTATTGCGACATATAAGACAATGACAATAGAATTTACTATTTCCAGAGCTCTCACTATTCTTTGTCGCAAGGGTTATAAATTCTTCAATACCGCTCGCATACTCATCGGTTAGTTTTCCCGATGTTGGATCAAGACGGGGTTTATCCATCCATGATCGAAAATAATTATATGGGTTTGGGTTTGAAGAAGACATGTTCTTTCACCCTTGATTTGTATGTTGGGAATGAGAAAGAAGAGATATTTATAGCAAAACCTGATTTCATTTCCGAGCGTATTCCGACCGATTTCTGACGAAACTTTAAAACGGCTAGAAACGGCTAGTTCAACGGATACAACAACGGCTAGATCTAATAATTCCGTCGGAAATCTGTCGGGAAAGTTGAAAATTTAAAAAGAATCGAATTCCGTCGGATATCCGTCGGAAATTTCCGACGGATTACCTACGGAATTGTATTTTTTTTTTGAATTTTCAACTTTTTAGAAATCCGTGGAAAATCCGTCGGGAATTTACCGACGGATTTCCGACAAAACCTTAAAAAACGACCATTTCAATAATCCGTCGGAAATCAGTCGGGAATTACGACCGATTTCCGTTTAACTTCTTCTCGTCGGTATTTTTTAGTTTTCCGTCGGGATCCCGTCGGTAGTTTCCGACGAAATATATTCCGTCGGAAATTTCGTCAGGAATCGTAGTGTTTTCTTGTAGTGCAAAAATATCGTCCTTTGAAAACCCGGGCAAACAAGGAGGTTGGTCTATCGATGAGCCTCCATAGCTGTTTTGCCAATAAAGTTGTGTTAAAGTCCTCCACATCACGAAAACCCATTCCACCTTCCGATTTGTCTGAACACATCTTTTTCCATGCTATCCAGTACATACCACGATTGTATCCATCTGAACTCCACCAGTATCTTGCCGCTGTACTGGTTAGCTTTTTTGTTGTGGCTTTGGGCAACCAGAAACAAGACATAACAAAAGTTGGCATTGCTGATGCCACCGATTTGATTAGAACTTCTTTACCCCTTTTAGATAACAGGCGCGATGTCCAGCTATTGACCCGGTCAGTTTGTCTTTCCACTACAAAATTAAAAAGCTTAGTTTTGGCGCCATCTAAACTTTCCGGAATGCCAAGATAGGATCCCGTCCCTCCGTCTCTGGTAATTCTTGTAATCTGCCTCATCTCATTCCTAGTATCTTCTGGGACCATGTGACCGAATTGTATCGAAGATTTTTCGAAGTTAATTTGTTGTCCCGAGATACTTTCATACTGTTTCAGTATGGCCAACAGCGTCTGGCATTCCTCTTTGTTTGCTTTACAAAAGAATAAACTATCATCCGCAAAAAGTAAGTGTGAGACTGGGGGGCTTGTCCTTGCAATCTTTAAGCCGGTTAAGAGCTTTTCCTCTTCGGCTTTCCTGATATTGGCTATAAGAACTTTTGTACATAAAATAAATAAGTATGGGGATAAGGGGTCCCCTTGTCGCAGCCCTCGTTGCGGAATTATTTGGCCCTTCGGTTGACCGTTCAAAAGAACTATGTATTTAACAGAGGTAATACACCGCATCATCCAAATAATCCATTTTTCCGCAAAGCCTAGTTTTCTCAAAAGACTTTCTGTAAAGGTCCATTCAACCCGATCATAGGCTTTGCTCATATCTGTCTTTATTGTCATGTATTTACTCTTACATGATTTGTTGGTTCGAAGACCATGGAACATCTCCTGAGCGATAAGAATATTGTCAGAGATCAGACGTCCTACCACGAAAGCTGATTGAGTTTCCGATATTAGTACTGGTAATAATTTCCTCAGTCTTTGACATAGCACCTTAGATATGATTTTATAGGCTACATTGCAGAGGCTTATAGGTCACAACTCTGTCATTCGCGTAGGACGCTCTGTTTTTGGGATTAAACAGATGTTTGTCAAGTTCAGCCTCTCCTCGAAAAACTCTGTCTCCAAGAAATCATTGACTAACCGTATGAGATCCGTTTTAATAATTGGCCACGAACGCTGGTAAAACAGTGCTGTCATACCACCAGGTCCCGAAGCTTTTTCTGGGTGCATCATAAAGAGTGCAGTTCGTATTTCCTCCTCCGATGCTAGTGCCGTTAGCATTGCATTATCTGATTCCAAAATTGATTGTGTAATCTGTCCCAAAGCGTCAGCGAATTCCGTTGGAGAAGTCGTAGTAAAAAGTTCTTCAAAGTAATGGACTGCCACCTGCTCGATCTCTTTTTCGGATGTAAACCCACGTGCCTGCCGCGTTGTGCAATCCAATTATCCGGTTTCACGCTTGTCTTTGCTTCACTAGAGCATGGTAATATTTGGTATTCTTATCCCCTGCCTGTGCCCATGGAGTCCAACTTTTTTGTTGCCAGTATAATTCCTCATCTCGATAAGCTTCTTTCAATTTTTTTTCTATATCCCACAATTCCTCCTCTGAGCGAGTGTCATCATTTTGGATTTCCTCTAGCGCCTGTTTCAACTCCTCAATTTTGTCCCTCCCATATGGTTGTAGAGTTTGCCTCCATTTAGAGATCTCTCTTCGACAATTTCGTATTTTTTCCGTGAAAGTCACTTCTCCACCAGGATCTAGGTCCCAACCTTTGGAGATGGATTCCATTAAACCGTTTTGTCCTAACCATCTTTTATCAAAGCGAAATTGAGATCTTTTCCATGAAATTTTATCTTCGATTGTGGCGACAATTGGCCTGTGGTCTGAGCCAATCATACCCAGATACTCAACATAGGATTGTGAGAACAGCTCGTGCCAGTCCTCATTCGCAAGAGCCCGATCTAGTCTGCATCTAACAATTTTTGCATTTCTTCTGCCCCTCCAAGACATTGTATTACCAAGACATGGAAACTCCAAAATCCACAGTCCCGTATCATAAGATTAAAGGACACAAATGTGGAAGCCTGCCGTAACTTACCCCCATGCTTTTCGTTATTACAAGTAATTTCATTCATGTCTCCTATAATGAACCAAGGCGCTGTCCTTTTGAGACTTATCCGAGTTAGTCTTTCCCATACCTGATCCCGCATTTTTACTACCGGATCTCCATAAATAAAGGAAAGGAAAATTTGTTTACCAAAAATACTTGCCTCAATATCAATAATCCGATTATTCGAGAATAGAATAGAAACATCAAAATCATCATTATAATATAAAGCAAGTCCACCGCTTGCACCGCACGGTTCAACCGTGTACATCTTATTATAGCCAAAATGAAATTGAAATTTTTGTAAAAAAGAAAATTCTTGTTTAGTTTCTGAAAAAAATAAAAACTCCGGCCTATATTTCTTCCAAACTTCCCGGAGATAACTTATTGTCCACCTGTTCCCGAGTCCTTGAAAATTCCAACTAAGAACTCTCATCCCTTAATCGATATGCTATGGTTTTGAGTCCGTCTTCGGGTTTGATGAACCCTTTGGAACACTCTGTATGTTGCCCTCTCCAGCGCGGTTCTGAACTTTTGCAGCTTGTTTCTTTCTGGGGGACACTAAAGCGTGAACCAAGCGCTTCTTAGAGTTGCCACCGAAAAACTGTGTGGTGAGCTTGGGAGTCCTCTTCCTTGCATCTGGTTTAACCATATCATCCTTAGTAACGTCGACATGTTTAACCTCAGTTGACAATTCTGTCAAAGCAATGTCATCCTGATTCAGCCCCTTCTCACCATCCTCGACCATTTCCTCAATCATCTGCAAAACCTCCTCTGTGTTTTCTAAAAACTCTCCTTCCTCCTGATCCATGAGAAGCTCATCGTCAAGCCTCCCCTGGTTACCTTCCTCTGGTGCCATAAGCGATGCATCTGTTTCCTTCTTCTCCTCCATTGAAATCTCCATATCGAGAGCATTCCCTGAAAGTTCTTCTCCTAATATCGCTCCCTGTTTTGAACCAGATTCAGATCCGATCACGAGTTGAGGATTCCCTGACAAATCCTTGTTGCCCTCCTCTTGTGTTTTCTGAACTACAGTGTCTTCCTCCTCAAATGACAAACTTTTCCGAGCAGACTTTACCCGAGATTGATCTGCATCCTCATCGATGAAAACCTGAGTCATCTGGTCCTTCTCGTGACCCCCTTCCGTTCTCTGTTGTGTCGCTTTTGGGTGACCATACCATGTCGACTTACTGAACCGGGATGAGCTTTCACCGAACCGTCGATCTGATCGTACTCTGAACTTGGTGTATTTGTCGTCATTATGGCTTTTCCTCTGTCCACCACGTTGATCTATATCCTTGCCCTTGTCTTGACTGCTGTCTTTGCTTCCAGGCTTACTGTTTACCATGGCTGCCTTGAAAGAGACCGCACCTGAATCACCTCTGGAATCGTCGTGATCCTGCTCAGCCGATCGCCAGCATGGTTCCGCAACTCGCTCTGGGCACCTCTGATAATCGTGACACAAACTAAAGCATTCACGACAATAACCGAAAAATCTTTCATACCGCAGGTAGATTGTTGTCTCTTCGCCACCATGAAACTCCAGAGTAGTTTCAAAACACAACGGTTTCAACCATCCACGATGACCTGAATTTCCCCTCATTCAAATTAACCGCTTCCACTTTTCCGATTGCTTTGCCAATGGTACGGAATTCAAGTCTGCCCAGAAGTGTAGAGTCACGCCAATGACCCTAATCCAAAACTTAATCGCGGAGGGGTAGTTGGGATCCACCACCGGAGTCCACCTCACAAGCGAGAGCATCCAATAATCGAAGTGGAAGGGCTCCATCTTCATGACCTCAGCGATGTCTTCCTCTCTGTCAAATCGAATTGGAACCTTCCCAATCCCAGATCTGCTCCTGCTACACGCTCCTCTACCTTCCAAATCCTAGGCAACATATAAAGTAGCGTTTTCATGTCCTGGGTATGCGGATTCATACACCGCCCGATCAGTGTTCTGGAGTAGTCCGCAATCAGACTGGCATTGTTGAACTTTGGCACCGAGATCTTCAACCGCTTAGAGGCCACCATCTGGTTTTTTCCGGAATCATGTTGCTTGATCAAACTGGCCTGCAACATTGTTGCTATGTTTTTGGAAAATGGAAGAGATTGAGAGAGAAGGCGAAGTGAAAGATGAGAAATTGTATGAATTTTCAACTCGTCATCCTTCTTTTTATAGCCGCTTCCTTTGACGCGTCGAAGCTGTG